GCGTGAAAAGAGTGTTGGCAGATCTAGCAGGCATGAAGATAGTCCAAGGAGAAAGAGTGTCGAGGAGGATGGTGAAAAGAAAGAGAAGAAAACCAGAGAAGAAGAACTTGAGGATGAGCAGAAGAAGTTGGATGAGGAGGTGGAAAAGCGAAGGAGAAGAGTCCAGGAGTGGCAAGAGTTGAAGAGGAAGAAGGAAGAAGCTGAAAGTGAAAGTAAGGGTGATGCGGATGGTAAAGAGCCCAAGGCCGGTAAGGCTTGGACTCTTGAAGGAGAATCTGATGATGAAGAAGTTCATCCTGAGGAAAAATCAGAAGCAGAAATGGATGTTGATGAAGAGACTAAACCTGAAAATGATGGAGATGCCAAGATGGTAGACTTGGAGAATGAGACAGCTGCTACTGTCTATGAGAGTGGAGGTGATGGAGCTGCAGATGAAGAGGAAATTGATCCTTTAGATGCTTTTATGAATACTATGGTATTACCTGAGGTTGAGAAGCTTAGCAATGGTGCTCCTCCCCCAGCAGTGAACGATGGTATTTTGGATTCTAAAATGAATGGGAAGGAAAGTGATGACCAGCCAAAGAAAGGTTTTAATAAGGCCCTTGGTAGGATAATTCAAGGTGAAGATTCTGATTCAGATTATTCAGAACCAAAGAATGATGATGATCCAAGTTTAGATGAAGACGATGAGGAGTTCATGAAGAGAGTAAAGAAGACAAAAGCTGAGAAGTTGTCCCTTGTTGACCACTCAAAAATAGAGTATGAGCCTTTCCGGAAGAACTTCTATATCGAAGTGAAGGATATCTCTAGGATGACACAAGAAGAAGTTAACACTTACAGAAAGGAATTGGAGCTGAAAGTTCATGGAAAGGATGTTCCAAGACCCATAAAGTTTTGGCACCAGACTGGGCTAACCAGCAAAATTTTGGATACTATGAAGAAGCTTAATTATGAAAAGCCAATGCCTATTCAAACACAAGCACTCCCAATCATCATGAGCGGTCGAGACTGCATTGGGGTTGCAAAAACTGGTTCAGGTAAAACCCTTGGTTTTGTTTTGCCAATGCTGAGGCATATCAAAGATCAGCCTCCCGTTGAAGCTGGTGATGGGCCAATTGGGCTTGTAATGGCACCTACTAGGGAGCTTGTTCAGCAGATTCACAGCGATATCAGAAAGTTTTCTAAGCCATTGGGTATCAGATGCGTCCCTGTGTATGGAGGATCAGGAGTTGCCCAGCAAATTAGTGAACTTAAACGAGGTACTGAGATTGTTGTGTGCACTCCTGGCAGAATGATTGATATCCTTTGCACAAGCAGTGGGAAAATCACTAATCTGCGAAGAGTCACATTTTTGGTAATGGATGAAGCTGATCGTATGTTTGACATGGGTTTTGAGCCTCAAATTACTCGTATTATTCAAAACATTCGACCGGAGCGTCAAACTGTGCTTTTTTCTGCCACTTTTCCACGCCAAGTTGAAACTTTGGCACGTAAAGTCTTGAACAAGCCTGTCGAAATACAAGTCGGTGGAAGGAGTGTTGTGAATAAGGATATAACTCAGTTAGTTGAAGTCAGACCGGAGAGTGATAGGTTCTTTAGACTTCTGGAACTTCTTGGGGAATGGTATGAGAAAGGGAAAATTCTGGTTTTTGTTCAGTCGCAGGAAAAATGTGATGCCTTGTATAGGGATATGATTAAATCTAGTTACCCTTGTCTGTCTCTTCACGGGGGTAAGGATCAGACTGATCGTGAATCAACTATATCTGATTTTAAGAGCAATGTCTGCAATTTGTTGATTGCCACAAGTGTTGCGGCTAGGGGTCTAGATGTGAAAGAGCTTGAGTTGGTTGTAAACTTTGATGCGCCTAACCACTATGAAGATTATGTGCATCGTGTTGGCAGGACAGGCAGGGCAGGGCGTAAAGGCTGTGCTGTAACATTTATCTCCGAGGATGATGCAAAATATGCACCAGATTTAGTCAAGGCCCTGGAACTTTCTGAGCAGCCAGTTCCTGATGATCTGAAAGCACTTGCTGATGGTTTCATGGCGAAAGTGAAACAGGGTATTGAGCAAGCTCATGGAACTGGCTATGGTGGTAGTGGCTTTAAATTCAACGAAGAGGAGGAAGAAGTCAGAAAAGCAGCAAAGAAAGCACAAGCAAAGGAGTATGGCTTTGAGGAAGACAAGTCTGACTCAGAAGATGAGAATGATGTAGTAAGAAAGGCAGGTGGTGGTGAGATCTCACAGCAGCAGGCTACTTTTGCTCAGATAGCTGCCATTGCTGCTGCTGCCAAAGCTGCTGCTGCTCCAGTGAGTGCTCCTGTGACAGCTAACCAATTGCTGCCAAATGGTGGCGGGCTTGCCGCCATGCCAGGTGTCCTTCCAGTTACTGTTCCTACCCTTCCTAGTGAAGGGGCAGGCCGTGCTGCAGCCATGGTTGCTGCCATGAATCTGCAACATAACCTGGCAAAGATTCAAGCGGATGCAATGCCTGAGCACTATGAAGCAGAACTTGAAATCAATGATTTCCCACAAAATGCTCGTTGGAAGGTCACCCACAAAGAAACTTTGGGTCCTATATCAGAGTGGACTGGAGCCGCTATTACCACCAGGGGTCAGTTTTATCCTACAGGACGTATACCGGGACCTGGGGAACGGAAGCTGTACTTATTCATTGAAGGGCCTAGCGAAAAATCAGTTAAGCAAGCAAAAGTTGAACTCAAGCGTGTTCTCGAAGACATTACAAATCAGGCCATGTCGTCACTTCCTGGAGGAGCAACCGGCAGATACTCAGTCCTTTAATGTAAGTCGAGAATTCTAGTCCAGTTTACAATCTTTGGTGGTAAATTTATAAGCTAAATGCTTTGCTTTAGCCTTGCATGCAAAGTATTTTCTATCTTACGAACTCTCTTTAATCTCAAAGTTCAGACTTATGGATCTTAGTTTCTGTCTTTTAACAGGAAAGCAACCATGAGGTGTGTGATTATAAGGGATTCAAATCACTGAGAGTTTTATTAAACAAGTATTATTGGTTGATGTTGTGGAATACAATCTCTGCACAATTGCTAAACCTTTTTACAGACTTGAACTTGATGTGATTAGAGAGATGGTCTCATAATGCTTGTTGTTTCTCATTCCGCAACTCTTTTCCTCTTTTTAATTTTATTCTCTTTTTCTTTGTCATGTTTATACAATGTCCTCGATGGGTTTGCTAATGAGCATTACCGCGTGGTGGCTGTAAAATGATGGGTAAAATCTAGTTTGATGCAGGTTTTGTGTTTGGCACTATGCTTGTTAGTTTCTTGCATCAATTCCCCCTTTTACAGCTTTTGGCATCTTTTCTGCAGGGGAAATCTGTGAAACATGAAGCTCTGGGAGAAATGATATGTAATTTGTTTGTGATATACAAGGCAAAGCTGTTTTTACCTCTCCAATGGGTAAGGGTAAGACTTGGCGTTTATTCAGTTTTTGTGTCTGGATCCTTTGTCTGTGGAGCTCCGTGTATCTGCTTAACCATTACTCTTAGAGGGGAAAGTTTACATCTACTGGGGGAGTTGATAGGCTTTCGGCCGACTTAAACGCTGAAGGACGCTTTCCAAGTAACGGTAAAAGGTGATGTTGCAGTCAGTATGTAGTAAACATCGGATTTATGATCAAAATAGTACTCAAGTATTGTTTTGTGGATCAAAATTTAAAAACTAATGGTTCTGAAACAGTGAAATAGGTGACACAGATTGTCTATTTATTATGTGATGATGATAAACGGCAATTCTCGTAGACAATAGAGAAGCTTGATCTACTGGAAAGGTTGTTGGTGGCCAAAGTCAATTTGTGTGACAGCACCTTTGTCAAACTATGAACATATAGAAGTGTCAAAAAGATGAATAAAATTACTGGACAAGGAGAAAATTTAAAGGGATGAATCATTCACTTTCATGCCATTATCACTCCAAATGGTAGAACATTATTGCATAACTCTAGCAATGTCCTTGTAACAATCAGCAAAACTGCATATATAATTCACTAGAACTACTGGAAATATAACCACTAGATTATTTAACACTTCACCATCTAGTGTTTTTTTAAAATAAGGTCACATTTTTATAACCCGCCAAAGGTTGCAATATGAAAAAATATAAACAACAAAACCATTGCATTTCTTTAAAAATAAATATGATATCATCAGAATCAATGTAATTTTTATTAATTGTATATCCTCTAGATAACAATACCAGTTGTTAAAATTACTTTAAAAAACTGTTATTCTGTCTTCAACACATATACTCCAAGTATATAAAAGAAGTAAGGAACATATATTTTAATTTTTCTAAAAGGACACAGGTTAACGAAATTGATTTAAAAAATATTTCTACTATCATAGATTCAATGTCGCGTGGAATAATTTTTTCTTATTTTGGTAGTTAACTACTAAAACTAGAACCGAATTGCCATGCAAAGCAAAGTGTGCGAGAACCACAACTACCACTCCCAAGTTCCTCATCTTCTTAAACATTCTTTTGGATTTTACGTTTGATACTCTGTTTCTCAGCTCGATAAACCAGAGAAGACAACGATCTATATCTCTATTCCTCTCGATTCTCCGTTGTTTTGATTCCGTAAGTCATTTATCATCATCACGAAACCATCTCTCAAATTGAAAACACGATTTCAATGTTTTTCGTAATTTGATTTCTATTCTTCTCGATGTTTGAGTGCATAGATAGAAGATATTGTTTTGGTTGTGTTGGTATCAGATTGAAAGCGACGATGACGATGAGACTTCTGGATCTGTTCATAACCTCATCGATACCAGTTGCGAAGATTCTGTTGATAACAGGAATCGGATTTTACTTGGCTCTAGATCAAGTTAACATTCTGAATCAAGACGCTAGAAAACAACTCAACAATGTCAGTTTCTTTCTTCACATAACCATTCACCGATTTTGGTTCATTTATATTATTCTCTTGTGAGTTTTGTTTTCTTTTTACAGATAGTTTTCTATGTGTTTAGTCCTTCTCTTGTCGCAAGCAGTTTATCTGAGACTATTACATACGAAAGCATGGTGAAAATGTAAGTTTCTTTTTTTTATTCAGAGAAGTGATTCTGCTTTGAAAATGAAATGTGATTTTGAATCCTTTTTTTTGGGGCAATCTTCAGGTGGTTCATGCCACTCAATGTTTTGCTAACATTCATCATTGGTTCATTTCTTGGTTGGATTGTTATCAAAATCACTAAACCTCCTTCGCATCTCCGTGGCATCATCGTTGGTTGTTGTGCTGCTGGTAACTTTAATATCATCTTATAAAAGTTGTTTCATTCATGAGTTTCTTAGATTCAGTGATGAAGTTGTATAATCCAACAGGGAATTTGGGGAATATGCCACTCATTATCATCCCAGCTATATGTAATGAAAAGGGAAGTCCTTTTGGAGATCCTGAGTCTTGTGAGAAATATGGACTTGGTTATATTGCACTCTCTATGGCGGTATGTCGCCATTTCTTAAGTAGCTCTTATGATTCTCTACTTAAGGTTTTTTAATGCCATTACAAGTCAAAAACGTTTTGTGTATCAGATTGGAGCCATTTACATATGGACGTACGTATACAATCTTATGCGGATGCTAGCTAATCCTGGTGGAGAAACCGCGATAAACAGTACCTCATCTACAATGCCACTGATTTCTCCCAAAGTCGAAGTTGGGGAGCAGGTCTCAGTCAAAACTTTTCCTTCTCTATTCTTGTGAGCATTTGATGCTTCAACTTACTGAGTTTTGAGAGAATGTATATGTGACAAGGTTGGGACTTGGAGCAAGGTCAAGCAAAGAGTGTCCTCGGTAGCAGAGAAAATCAATCTACGAACAATATTTGCTCCTTCAACCATTGCAGCGGTTTGTTTCAATGTTCCCTTGAACCAAAAGACTGCTAGCTAGCTTCTGTATGTTCTTATTATTTAAGCAACTAATCCTCTTTCTCTTCAGCTTATCGCGCTTGCGGTTGGGTTAAATCCTTTACTACGGAAGCTACTAGTCGGTAACACAGCTCCACTTCGAGTGATTGAGGACTCTGTATCTCTATTGGGGTATTCTACAACATATTAGAAATCTCACTTGTCAGTGAAAAATCATCAATGCTTACTTGAGTAGCTTAATTTCTTGAAGGGATGGGGCGATTCCTGTTCTGACTCTGATTGTAGGAGGAAACCTTCTCAATGGTAAATGAACATTGACAAAAAGCTGCAAAACTTTCTTGAAGACAAAACCTTAAATATCTGCTCTCTCTTTCAATAATCACAGGTCTGAGAGGTTCAGGAATGAACAAGTCAGTCATAATGGGTGTGGTGGTTGTGCGTTACCTGTTGCTGCCAATATTAGGCGTTTTCATAGTACGAGGAGCGCATTACTTGGGTTTGGTTACATCCGAACCGCTTTACCAGTTTGTTCTTCTGCTTCAGTATGTCGTTCCCCCAGCAATGAATCTTGGTTCGTTCTTCAGACTCACAAAAATACTACCGAAACACATCAAACTGTCTTTCTCATAAACTCACTTGACCTTTTGGCAGGTACAATCACTCAACTATTCGGATCAGGAGAAAGTGAATGCTCTGTGATTCTCTTCTGGAGTTATGTCTTGGCTTCAGTTTCTCTCACTGTCTGGCCAACATTCTTCATGTGGCTCGTAGCCTGAACACTCACACACACATACACAAAGGGGCAACATTTGCAAATCTCGCTACTTTGAAATATTAGAGCAATTGATATATTCTTTCATTGTTAAAAATGTTGGAAGGTTATACAATTGGGAATAGAGACCCAATCAAAAGGGAATATTGAAACTTCGATCATCCTAAGATAGCAGATAAATGCTTGAGACAAGCAAAGACAGAGATGGAACAAAATATCCTACTGAGAGTTGATAAAGAGAGCCTCAGAGAGAGGACTTGTCAGGTAAATCATCGAAGTAAGGATGCTCCATAGCTTTCTTTGCTGAGATTCGTTTTGCTGGCTCGTACTCCAGCATTTTCTGTGCACAAAGAAAAACGCAAATTAGTCTCAGCTGAGTGATTATTTACTAATCAAGCAAGGTCTGAGAGGTGTGTTAGACATTGGGGACTTACAGATAAGAGATCAACTCCGGCCTCGTCAAGGTTTGGCACAGCTGTGGAGAGACTCAATGGTTTCCATTGCGGGTATTCATGCCAGTCCTTGAGTTTGCTTACTCCAGGCCACACTTCTTCGTTTGGTGTTCCCAACAACCTGAATTTCACAGAAAAGAAAGAAACAGAACAACCGAGTTAGCGAATGTCAAGTTTGTCTGTTAGAGAAAGGTGAAGATGAACACAAAGACTTACCTGAAAATACGAAGGAGCTGTTGGAGTTCAGAGTCTCCCGCAAAGATTGCTTGCTTGGTCACTAGTTCAGCTACAAATCAAAAGGAAACAAAACTGTTAGTTCTTGCTATAAGTAAGATTGAATTGAAACCAGTGCAACTGAAAGAGAAGATTTTGTACCAAAAATGCAGCCAACAGACCACATATCCACTGCAGTTGAGTAATGGGTTGCTCCAAGAAGAACCTCCGGAGCTCTATACCACAGAGTTAAAATCTGTTGCAAAGGAAATCATGGGAGTAAAAACATCATGAGTTATATCTCCAGACAAACTATGATAGGATTTTAAAACACTATAATGAAACACGACTAATGTTTCATCAACATAGACTTATAGTTATACCTCATGTGTATACTTTTTCATTGGGAGAGTGAAGGCTCTGGCTAATCCAAGATCTGCTATTTTGAGCGTCATTGTCTTCCGGTCCATCAAGAGATTGTGCGGCTTAAGATCCCTGTAATGAAACAAAGAGAAGAGGATTAGTGATCTGTGTCTAAATAGGTTATCTCAATGCCTTGTTCTTCCGAAACAAAGACGATTTTTACCTGTGCAACACTCCATGACCATGGCAAAAAGCCATGCCTTTGCATAACTGGTACATCAAGCACTGCAATTCAAGAACATGTTTCTCTTAGCTTAAAGGGGCTTATCGCATGAGAGTAAAAAAACAGAAAAGAAGCTTCAAAAATCGAAACCTTGACTGTATTCTGTGGAATGTTCTGTCCAGCTTGACGAAAGCTTCTGATGAATTTCTTGAGATCAGTGTCAACATACTCGAAAACAAGGTAAAGTACAGTTTTTCCTTCTTTGTTAATTCCTTGCTTAACATCCATCAACCTGTAGAAGAAGATGATCATCATAACAAAAATCACCACATAGTTGAAACTGAGATCACAACACAGAGCTGCTACTTTGAATCAGATTAGGAACCCTAAAGATTTCATATTCAGGACCATCGATTGTCCTCAAACAAATAGCAAAATGAAACTAAGATCTACCATTACCACCTAAGCGCGATTTGGAGGAAGAATCAATTGAGACATCAAATCAATTAATCGAGACTAAACCCTAGAAATCGAAATTGAGTCCTAAATTCACAAACAAAATCAAGAAATCGGAGACTAAAACCTAGCAAAAACAACCTAATCAGAAATGTAAAAAAGAAATCGAACCTAACGATGTGAGGATCACGAGCGAGCATGCGTAAGATAGAGATCTCGCGAAGAGTAGTGGGAGGAACACCTTCTTCATCCTCATGGAGACGCGTCTTCTTCAAAGCAACGATCATACCAGTAGCTTTCTCTCTTGCTCTGTAAACTTTGCCGTAAGTACCTTCACCTACTTTCTCAAGCTTCTCGAAGGCTTCCATGGCGGAAACAGCAGGTTTGACTCCATTGTTGTCCATCTCTCGCTATTTCTCCCTCACTCTCTCTATCAAAATCAATCAATCTCTTAAGAAAACTCTTCTCAGATTTTGTTTTCAAGTTGGGGAAGAAGAGAAGAAATGGAGTTAGATTCGAGGATTGGTTTAAATAGGAAGGAGATTATTAAAAGGTATATTCCCTCTTTCAGACTCCATTTTTTCAACGGTTCTTTTCTCTTTTTTTTTTCAAAATTCAAAACTGGAGCGTCGTCTTTAGTTTTTTTTTTTTTTTATTAAGTGTGACGTGGAAAAAGTGAATAACCGATTTCTTTTTTTCTATTGTAATAAAAAATCGAATATTTATTTTCTGATTTTGTTGACCAATGACAACTTCTAAACCATGATTTTTATATATATATATATATATATATATTCAATTTCATAAAACTGACAAGTGTGGTTAAAACTTAAAAGCCTTGTCTCTTAAAAGAAGGTGTGTTTTCGAATTAGACCAAAGAGATATTTGAGCCATTGCGGAAGCCGTGTCTATGTGATGCAATTCACGTTAACAAATACATGTAAAACGAAAAAAAATATATCTTATAGTAGCACATTTTGATATAGTAAGTAAAATGGAAGGTACATTGTTTCAACATTCTCTAAATTATTCCACTTTTGCTCTAGCTTTTTGCTGATTCATTGATCGACGCGTCATGTGTATGTGGAACCATTTAGAAAATACTTTTACTTATTTGGTTAACGAAATTTTTACTCAACATTAATTAGAGATTTATACTCAATATTTTCCCCAACGATTCCATATTTACTCTTATTTTTAGTGTTACTTAGTTAGGCCTTTTATTCGGGTTATGATTCTTTTACAATAAACGAGAGGTTCTATATTTGATTCTACTCAAAACAAGAATAACTAGAGAGATTTAATGCTGTCAAAAACAAAACAAAAAAAGAAAAAAAAGGAGAGTTTTAATGGCTTTTGCTAAAAATGGACAAAAATAATATAAGTCATAGTCATTTTTATACGGTAACATCATATAAATAAGATCAGAGTGTCACAACTCACAACGGTATATAACACATGCATTTTCTTTTGTTCTTAAAATGGGTTTCTTGTGACACAAGTTGAATAAGCCTCAAATCTTTCCATGACTTAGCTTAAGTGATTTGCATAATATGTATATAGCAAAACTTGATCACTCTCATTATGTATACTCAAACAATTCATCGTCACCACCATTCTGTCGCGTTAATGGTTCAACCATGAACGCAAGTCGTCTGGCTTTTGAGAAACCAAACCATGTTCCTCTTAATCTCTTGTCAAACCAACTTCCCAGTATAGTGTTACTTTCATCCCAAGTTGCTTTCTTTGTGGCCCTATATCATATAAACAGAAGAATCATCAAGAATGCATCATATACATAAATTACATAAATAAATAAAAGCTTTGTAAGAAATTAACTTATTGTCCTTCGTAGTTGTTTCTGTTCATCAGCAGCGTCAGTTTGCTCTCTTCCCAATGGAATGCTACGGTCCCCATTTTTTGAAGAGTATTATAACTTTTCTTTGCTATTTGAATCTCTTGCTCCGTGTTTGTTCTTTTGTTGTGATTCTGTGTTGTGACCCCTACTCGGTATTTATGGTCGAGAGATGATTCATTGTACTCTGCTTTTTCCTTAACTTGTCAACTTCTTCCAACGTAAGTATCCAAATACGCTTAAGAGCTTCTTTATCCATTTTTGGGTTTAGTTTTTGCTGTTTTCTGTCACCATCATACATACTCTTTCCTCCATTCACTAACCACCAAGAACCGTGTCTATGTGATGCAATTCACTTTTAGAGATTCATGTATGTAAAATGAATGCTTCTAGTAGCATAAACTTGCTATAGTAAGTAAAATGGAAGATACATTGTTTCAATATTCTCTCCATCAAAAAAAAAAAAAAAAAAAAAAAAAAAAAATTCTCTACATCGTTCGACTTTTGCTCTATAGCTTTTTTTTTTTCTTTTTCTGATTGAGTGAAGAGAACTCATGTCTATGTGGAACCATTTATAAAATACTTTTACGAATCTGAGTAAAATTGAAATGAAGACGTTACTTGAGAAAACACAAAGGAGATGATGAGGTGACAGCTAGAGACTTTGATATATGTTCATATCGGTTTTAGTCATGCTCGTTTTTTTCTTAGTGGTGATCGTCTTAGTGCCTTATATGGACTATGCTTCTTTTTTCCTTTTTTTTACCGTTAACCACAATTCCCTATTTACTCTAGTTTTTTAGTTTTACTTAGTTCGGCCTTTTATTTGGGTTATGATTGATTCTTTTACAATAAACGAGAGGTTCTATATATATTAATTCCACTCAAAACAAGAATAAATAGAGAGTTTTAATGGCTTTTGCTAAAAATGGACAAAAATAGTATAAGGCGTAGTCATTTTTATACGGTAATTAACATCACATAATAAGATCAGAGTGTCACAACGGTGGTATATAACACATGCATTTTTCCTTATTTTGTTCTTAAAATTGGTTTCTTGGGACACAAGTTGAATAAGCCTCAAATCTTCCCAATTCTCATGACCTAGCTTTAGTGATCTGTATAATATGCATATAGCAAAACTTGATCATTCTCACGATGACCCAACCGACCATTTTTCATTCGTTCTTAAAATGGGTTTCTTGGGACAATTTCTTCCTCATTGACCATAATTAAAGACATTACGCTTGGGCTTAAACAACATTTTCTTATACAATTGATTTTTTTTGTCTCAAAAGAATATAGTAAAATACAACTAATTTTAGACTTGAAATATATAAACCATGATAGTGCAATTAGAAAAGCAAGTGGCAAACAAACATTCCTATAAATCAGGATATTTTTTTTTTTGTATAATCTATAGACACCAAATAACCAAAATATGAGAAGATTGTTTACTTGGTGGTATCAATGAGTCCCATAATGGCAATTAGATAGGAGATGCGTTGGTCATTAGAAGCAACAAGCACCATCTGTTGCTCATCCTCCTCTACAAAGAACAAGGAAGGCGTAAATTTATAAAAATCTCGGACGCAACTGGCCCAAATAGTGGTTGACCCCAAAACTCCCCAACTGTTAGCTTCCATGTCGTACACATGAATCACACCTTCAAAAGATTCTAATCCCCTCTTTTTCACCCTCACCACAAGACACTTGCCATCGTACGCAACTATGTTCCAACATTCAAGCGTGTTTTCATCGATAGATATGTTCTTGATCCGCCTTGTGAGTGCCCATTTGTGATTCCCGAGAAGTGTGTAAACGGATATTGTTTCTATCGTCCCCGAAATTAAGGTCAGACGATTGATTTTAACGCTTTCCGCGAAAAGTAGTTTAGTATCCGGTTCCCGATGAAATATGGAAGGAATCAAACATGCTCGCTCTGTCTCGGGATTAAAAGATACAATGCTCCCATCGTTTCTCAACCAGTGAAGAGTGTTGTCCAAGTAAGCAGGTTTCATTCGCGTTGTGAGATCACTTTTTGAGCTAGTGGTGATTGTCGTTTCCGACAATCTCCATCGCTGATCTCAAATCCGTATACGGTTTCCATCTCGAGTATGCAGACGATCATGAATCTCTTGGTTGTTCGGTTTGGATTTACCGCAAATCCAACGCACATCGCTCTTTCTGTACGAGCAATGTTACCTTCAGGATAACTATTATCATTACCACCAACTATCTTAGGTATAAGCTTTGATCCAGAGTGATCCAGGATTCGAAACCTTTTTGTTAAGGGATTTGCGACAAAGAGGCAACCGATGTACAATAGGAGAAGACCGGAGCATGAACCGAAAAAGTAACATCGCTCACTAATCAGCTCTACTTCATTTCCCGGTGACATATAACCGCATGAAGAGACCAAAGGTTGGCAGTATACATAAACTGCGCCATAGCTACTAACGTTAAACAAACTAGATCTGACCCATGAAGGATATTCAGGTCCAAATCTTGGATCACTTAAATACGATTTGATAGATTTGTTCGTGCATCGCATCATCGCCATAGATTTGGGTTCTAATCTGAAGAGAATCTCGTCGAGAAGATGCAAAGGTAAATCATTCATGATCATAGTTGTATCAACGTCAGAATTTTCCGTGCTTTTGTTTTTTGAATCAAAGTGAAGATGGGTTTCTATTTTGCTTGTTTATGCGATTATTTTTTTTGTTATTTCAATGATTTACTTATGAGATTGTTATATAGATCTAGACAACATATTATTACCAAAAAAGAAGTAACAATCATTTCTAATCAAGGATAATCTCAGTATCTCACCATTATAAGAAAAAAATAAACTACAATTTTAGTATAATAATATTTATTAAATTTTCATTGATTTTGCAAGATAATTAGAATTTCTGTGTGGCCTTTGATGAAATCAATTTTTTAATTTTTTTGGGCAAATCTTTGATGAAATCATTGAAATCAGATATTATATATATATATTTATAGGTTTGTCATTTTGAAAAATAATTTGTAAGTTATTAATTTCGATAAATTAAAAAAAAGTTATTTATGTCAATAAAAAATGGCAAAAATCTAATATCTTTTATTGATAAATATTGTTAACTATCTAAAATAGTTTCTTCATTTAATAATATCTTTTTAATTTTTTTTTTTTAAATAACTAACAATGTATTTAGGCTAAAGATAGTTTTTAAATAAATAACAATGTATTTATGCCAAATCTTAAACCTAATATAGTTATAATGCTAATGTATTTACACATTTTTTTTGTTTGTGATTCGCTGGATTTGGAGAAATTACAGGTGAGGAGGAAGAGAAGGGAAAAAAAAAACGTTCGTGGGAGATTCGAACGCCATGTTGTAATGATATCAAAACCCACATATAACATTATAACAACAAGACTACGTTAAAATACTCGTCAAGTTTGTAAACGTATTGTATATATCTATTAAAATGTGTAGGTAAAATTTTATATGATTCTGTTACGTCCATTAATGAAATGTTAAGTCGTAGATGCGAATCTACCAATAATTCTAAAATGATGTATTTTTAGACCAACTATATTTAAGTGAAGCATATTTATTCCAACCAAAAAGTATTGGGTAGTATTATACGTCTTTCTTTTTTTTTAAGAATTTTCGCATATAGTAATGATTTTTTATATATCATTTGGTTTTCAAGCGATGCTATTGCTGCTATATGCATGCATGCCAAATTATCATGTTTTAAAAAAGTTTGTAATAATAGTGAAAAATAAAAGGTGGATTGGTATGGTGAAATAGCGCCTCTATAATCCAAACCTTTTTATATCTTTCCAAACTCAACAACTTAAAAAATAACAACAAAAGTTACATCTCAAAAGAAAGAAGACAAAAAGAAGAGAACAACAAACACGACGTGTGGGATTAAAAAGAGCTTATGCAAAGCTCATGAGAGAATTGATTATATAAGAGTTTTGACTCTATCTTTTAAGCAAATCATTGACCACCAGTTGAAGAAATAGTAGTGAGAACATCAGTCACCGAAGCCATCACACTCAGTGCTGCCTTCAATACGTCTTGAGAACATCCTGGTTTCACTATCTTCCTCACCTGACCAACCCCAAAAGTGTTTTAAAATATGAATATGGCGAAGAACATTATTCGATACTTTTAAAAATAACAAAAGAAAACACACAAGAACAAAGATTTTACCTGGTCTAGATATTCCTGCAGCTTCTTGATACGTCCCATGTAATCTTGATCTTCAACACAGAGGCTCACTGCTTTAGCATCCGCACCAGGACCATCGTACTGAAGCGGTCCTGGGTTTCTGTACAGATCTTCCATCAAGAACTTTTGTGCATTCTGTCTCAAAAGGCTGCAAGAAAACCATTAACCTTCAAACAATTGAGAAACTAAAGGCCAGCGTTGTGATTAAGTAAGTGTGTTCATGTTCTTTGTACTAGCTGCTGCTTACTCGTATGCTTTGCCTTTCAAATCCACCATAGCTGGATGAATTGCAGGTCTACCAATTGAAGTTAAAGTATAACTAGCATCCTGGGACCAATGCTTCACTGACATCATCGCCTAAAGAATAGGGGAATTAGTACAGAAATAAACTGTATTGACTGCCATCTTTTAGATAGACAAGAAGACAAAACTCAACTGTAATAGGTGCAGCACCACATTTCCACTTGTTTACAGGACTTTTTAGGTTGGTTACAGTTGCCATGTAACCATTCAGACCAGCTGCGAGGGCGTGATAACATATATGTCCAAGAACCTGCATGATTCTCCCATTGATTCAATAGTGTGAATTTTCATCCCAATTATGAAGTTGCATTGGTACTGTGGTGCAGAGTGTTAGTGACTTACGTAGGCGTAATCACAATCGAATTTCGATGGAAGAGATCCACGAGCTTGGTAACCAAAAAAGTGACATATGGCATTGAATTTCTTCCCCTTGTATGTGCCTTCTTTCTGTCAAGTTCAAAGATTTAATTACATTAGCAATAATGTTTCTTGATACCAACAACGACCCCAATATTTAGATAACAGTATCGGGAAAAGATAGAAATCAGTGAGAAAAGTGGAGCGTACCAAGCGCTTGTTCATTTCAGTCTCCACGAGATACGCAAGAAGTTTCTCCGTCTCAATCTAGAGTAGAAAGCAAAAAGAGCATTTAGGATTCCAACTTTTTTTATAACATAGTAGCTCCAACATTTTTTGTTTCTTCTTCTTACCTGGGATAGCTGAGCAGAATCATCAGACTCAGGATGGAGAAGTAGCTGTAACAACAAAGGTGACCATCTTGTAAGCTTTGCTTTGAAGGAAAACAAAGATAAGTCTACTTTCAAAGAATTCGAACCTGTTTCTTAATAAATGGAGGAAGAAATTCAAACAAAGCAGATGACCAAGGTGAGAGCTGAGTAGAAATCTTATCAGCAGCTACACCCTGCCTTAGCAGCCCATGAATTTCCTACATCAAAAAAAGTCAGCTTAGACATTATATATACTAAGAAGTATATCTCAGTATTCAAGAAAGAGTACAAGTATCAAATGCCAAATACAGATGTCTACAAGTATCAAATCATTACCTTTAACAGAGCGTAGACTTCAGGAATACTCACTATAAGCCCTTCAGGAATGAGAATGACTCCATGATTTTTGTCTGGTTCAAACAAATGGAATAGTACCAGATTTAGTGAACACAATAAAATATACATGATTGCATAATCACTTCATAGATGGTTTTCGTTATGAGACCTTCGACTGCTCTTGCTTGAACAGCATCACAGATCTGTTTTGCAATGTCAAAAATCGTGAGCTTAGATGCTGAAACCTCCTCGCCCAGTATCACCTGAGACAATCGCATGACACGCAAATGAGAGTCTAGAGCACGTACAAGTCAACAGAATCAATAGTCTGTTTAGAAACTGAAACAATACCAACCATGTTTGGATGAGACTGGAGTGTACACTCAAGGGCAACATGAGAGTGCTTACGACCCATGAGACGGATGAAATAATAATACTGCAAATAGAAAAATAAAAAGTAAAACTTGATATCAGAAATATTTCTTCTTATCAGAATATGAAGTTAATAAACTGCAGTTAGACTAAACAAGTTCAGCAAGAAATAGCATTTACCTTCTCTGCAGAAAGGGCATCAGTGCAGGCATTGCTAATGAGCTGTGAATTCACCTGTATGACGGAAAATATCAACATATAGTTTCTGTAAACACTTAAGAGGGGCAACGGCATCATGTTGGCTGCGATAGCTACAAAATATAACTAAGAAAAAAGTAACCAGTGGGTTAAAGTTTACATTTACCTTGCATATGGTGTCAAAACCCACATTTGCCTCCACAAACTGATTTTTGAGATCTCCATTCGTAGTTACTGGAACACCAACTACCTGTAATTTTACAGGTAACTAACTTATAGTATCAAATAGGTTTTTCCGTAGTTACGTGCAACTTAATTACCGGCACATTTTATAAAGTAATTAAAAATGAAACTATATGAAAAGAAATCAGGACCTTAGTTGGGCATTTTGCTGCCGCAAAAAATTCAGCGAGATGAGCTGCATCTGTGTTTGATATTACACCTTCAAAAAGCACAATATAAATTCCTGGTTTCGTAAAAAAAACGACGAGAAAACATCACTAATGATATAAATAAAACGCTAGGTACCTCCAATGATAACAAGGCCATCTAACTTCAAATCTGTGCAAGCTTTGAGTGCAGCGTTAACCTGCTCAGTTGTTTTGATCTGATCCTTAGTTCTTCCGAGCAAATCATAACCACCTTACAACATACATTTCAACAACAATATATGAGAATTTGAAGCAATGTACGAGATTCTGCATTTTACGACAATGCCTTGATCAAACAACTACCTTGGTTTTTGTAAGTCTGAAGTATATCATCTGTAATCTCCAGAGTCTTTTGTGCAAATAGTCCTTCGGAACCACCTATTATCAGGTTACAAAATTTCTATTGTGAGCAGAAATAAATGATGAAAAAAAAAGAAAGAAATCTCTACCTAAAAATAGCAAATGATGCAGTATCACAAATAACAGAACTTACCCAAAAAGCCTAGCAAAGTGCTTTTTGTGTTGTGCACCTTGAGAGCTTCGAAAAGACCCCAGATCACATTATGTCCACCTGGAGCTTGCCTTCCACAAAATACAATTCCAACTCTACAGTAGAAAGAGAAGTAACTTAAGCTGAATAGAACTTGAATCAAACATAAAAGTCAATCCAGAAACATATACACACACCGAACTGATGGAAGCTCGGTAATGATGTGAGCATCAGCAACTTGAGCAGTTTCCCTGAGGAAGTGAGCCAAAGGCTGGCCTAAGGTATGCGGGAAAGCACGAGCCATGGTGTGTGAATCAGCAGCCTCAGCCACAGTGGTTCCATCACCAAGCTCTACGCGGACAGTAGTCCCCTGAAACGAACATCAAGCAGAATAAGAAAATGGCAAAGTTCAACTGATTATAAAACACAATCGAAACAATAAAAAGACTGTGAATGAAACAGATCCGAGGACATTACAATCTAGAAATCAGATCTGCTTAAGCAGCACCAACATTGCAAGTTCCTCGAATTAGGATAAACAAAAACTTGGAATAGTAATATCAAAGAAGAAAACGAAGTCAATGAATTGGAACAATGGAAGGAAGTAGATCTATCAAGTAGAAGAAGGGACCTGGAGACAAGGAGGAAGCTCAGGGTGGTACTGAGATCGAAGTTGCTGAAGAGGGGAGAGTTCTCTGGGGATTCCGAAATCTGAATCCATGGCGTTAGGTTTTATGTAGAAGAAGAAGAAGAAGAAGAAGAAGAAAGAGAAGTGGTTGGTGTGGTGTGAGACTTTGAGTGTGACTATTTTTTTTTTTGGTTCCTGTTCAAAATATATATAGTGAGGAGGGAGAAGAAGAAAGAGGAGGAGGAATATACCACATCCGCCTCTTTCTTGCTCTCTCGTGTCATTGTTTTCCAGATCCTTCTCTCATTTGACCCTCTTTATCTCGACTATTTACCTTAATTAAAATCACCAACATTACCCACTGTTTTGAAAGTTCATGACATTTTATAAACACAGAGACGGTTTTGACTCCATGTTTTTGGACAAATGTTTTGGCAAGTTTCTATTGATCACGACTTTTACTTGCTCATTATGCAAGTTTCACTCTCTTTTTTTGTAAGTTTTTACTTGCAGCAATAGTACAATTTTGTTTTGAGGAGTCTCGAAACTCAAATGTTACAAAATGAACACTGCTGCATTTAAAATTCTTTTAAGCAATCTCAGCTTTCAAAGTCATAAACTCAAATCGTAGTTTTGACATTGGCTCCTCTCTCGAGTTCGGTCCAAACAAAACCAGAAACAATCCCATACATAGGCTAAAACTCGATGCATGACATAAAATGAGTAATCTCAATGGTTTCGTTTTAGTATTGCCAGAGGTCAAGGAATGGTAAAAGACCAGGACAACGATTACACCTTAATATCTATTCTTGGAAAGTTGAGATTGCAGAGACCCTAACGGAAGACAAGTTTACCCACTCTCCAGAATCAGCATATGCCTGCAAAGAACAGAAATTATATGTGTCATTTTCTGGATTTTAACATACAGAATCTATAATCAGCTATTCTAAAGAAACAGCATGTGAGATTTATGAGACATGATTCAGAAAGCAGTTTTCATATAGCAGTGATGCACAAACCAAATCACAATCCAATTATACAGATTTCTAGCAATTTGCTGATCAACATTGTTCACTAACTTGACCAATTATTTCACAATACTAGGTATATACCATGCACAATATGCAGTCCTACTTGCATGAACATTCCTGAATTCTAAATTTCTAATACTTCGATAAGTAAATCCATGGTCAAAAACAAACCTCATGCAAAAAAGAAAAAAACAGAAGCAGAAAAACTAACACGCCGCAGCTTGATGAACAAATTATTCACACGATAGATGAAAGCGAGCTGGTCAATGCACAAAGCAAAATCTAGTTAAGCCAAGTTCGTAACACAAAAACTACAACCATGGAACTAACCGAAAATTATGATCAGAAAACTGTGGAACTAACCTGAACAACAAATCATTCTTCCATGTGATCTCCAGCGCCAGATCCTTTGACATCAACAGAGAAAGAGTACTCTTGGTCACACCCCAAGTAAGAGTCACACATGAAGTATAGTGTGTATGACTTCTCTCCTGGTTCACTCGGTACTGTGAAATCCAGCTTCACCTTCGCTTTCTGTTGCAATGAGACACGCTTGATTGCCAGCAACTGGTTCGTCTTGGTGTCGCCCACGACCAGCCACCATCCTTCTTCTTTGGTCTTGGGATACCTGAGTGAATCCACAGGTCCCACTTCTGTCCTCCCCTCCATGTCTCTCTCAAGCATCACTTGCAATGTAACCTCTTTCCCTGGGTTCACCTCTTCACTGCCCACAATCTCGTAAGTAAGGTCGATGTTTGGGAAGCGGTTGCAGAATCTGGCAATGTCTAGAAGCTGAGCGTCTGACATCTTGAGAAGCTCTTGGCGTTCTTCGTCCTCCATCTCCACAAGATCGAATACGGTTTCAATGTTTTTCCCCGGATTCTCTTGGCACCTCTTGGCCAAGTCCTTTGTGAAGTGAGGGAGCTGCAGAAGCATGGAGTCCCGCTCCCACATGCCTTGAGTCACCATCTGGCTTACTTCCATAGCTAACAGAGCAAGATTCAGCCAGCCATTGCTTGATATCACATCGACCATCGCTTGAAGAAGTCTGGTTGCAGATAGAAGGACATCACGCTGATCCATTGCCAAGTTCCCGCCAATGTTTTGCCTTGAGAAATGCGCCTGAAGAAGCGCGTTTGCCTTCACATGAGGGTCTGTGCATTTTGGGTTTTCAAAAGAGAACCTCTGGTGATTGATTAATCTTCGAACAGTGTCCTCCTCACCAGGCCGTATAGGAATCATGTCATACTCCGAAGCTGATGTTAAGATCTCAAGAAGTCCCTTCATCTTGGTTTTAGAAGACAACAGTGAACTGAAGCGCTCAATGGTGGTATAACTGATGTAGTAATAGGATGCAATCATACCAAGGTTGAGAGGAGAGAGTTCCATCTCATCCTCTATCTCAATGCATTTACTGGCTTCAAGATTAGACAAGGTGTTCTCAACCAGCTCTGAGAGGTGATCAGACAAATGCCTGTGGCTAACACCTTGGAGATTGTAGTAGTTAGGGTTCTGGGGAAGCCTCCTGTACATGAAAGTCCATGTAAGATAATCCACGGCATCTTGCTTGTTCTCTATAACCCCAGCAACCACTTCTGCGTTGAAATTATCATGCAAGAAATGCTGGAGCTGACTTTCCACAGGGAAGGCTTCGTACAGAAACTTCTTGTAATACTCTTTCTGCGGTGCATGACAAAAGATCACACACTTCCCAGCATTGTCAAGAAGTGGTCGGCTAGCACGCCCCATCATCTGAAGCAGATCAGGGACGGGATAATCAGAATGTGAATTTTCCCTCCCATCGTAATACTGTGTCCCCATTACGACCACCAAATGCGCAGTTAATGGAGTACCCCAACACAATGAACTGCTCATCACACAAGCCTGAATCCGTCCAGCTTCAAAGAGCTGTGTCACAATCTCCTGATCAAGACTGCTTAAACCCTCATGCAGGTACCCAATACCATGACGCAGTGTTTCCTTCAGTGTTTCCTCGCGGATTTGGCTAACAAAAGGGTCCAGTTCTTCCAGTTGCCCTAACAAGAAATCAGGACTCTGCGGGTTATCCATGTGAGAATAAGCCATTAGATCCACAGCAGTCAAGCGGACATGTTTACGGGTTGGGACGAAAACAATAGCCGGCTTCTTGTTCTTTGCGTGCTGAACTATGGCGGTGTAGGTTGGCTTGGTCATCGCCTGCATCCTGGCTTCAAAACTGGATATATCCACTCCCTGAATGTGGATCTCCAGTGGAACAGGACGGACGCCGGGAGGGAAGTTGAAAAGGCCGTGGGAACTGGCCCCAATCCACTCCCCAAGATCTTTTGCATTTGCAAGTGAAGTGGATAGCGCAACAATCCTGATCTTATTATTGACCTGACTTGATATATATCTCATTCTGGAGACGATTACCTCCAACACTGGACCACCTTGACCTCCAATTAGATGGAGTTCGTCGACGATGAAAAGACTAACTTGTTGAACGTATTTTCTCTGTTTCCACCTGCGGGAAAGAGCATCCCATTTCTCAGGAGTACTTATGATTATCTGGCCTTTCTCAAGCAGCTTAAGATCCAATGCTGTCTCCCCAGTTAGCTCAACAACCCGTAAACCAAGACCCTTCCCAAACTTCCCCTCCCAGATACGAAACTGCTCCTTGGCAATAGCCTCAAGCGGTGCAATATAAACAACACGCATTGTAGCATCAGGTCCTTCTTGATGATTCCTCAAAATAGCGAACTCTGCACAAATAGTTTTGCCACTTCCCGTTGGAGCAGCAACCAACACATTGTCGTTAGTGTTATACAAAACAGTAAAGACCTGAGTCTGCACTGGATTGAAATGCTTGAAATCCTGATAGAGTATCTCATAATTCGGATTCCTTAGCGCCGTCACTGGGAGAGGCTGCAAGTCCAGTAGCTCAGTCGGAGGTGGATACTTTTCTGGAAGAATAAGATGCCTGAAAGATACAGGCAACACAGTCTCGGAGCCAAGCCACTTGTCTGAAACCACTCGAACAAAATACTGAGGTGGCAGCGGTTCAAAGATTGGCACAGTGAAATTCAAAGTGTGATCCTCATCAATATACTGCTGCTTCAAAAGAAAATACTCGTGATGAAGGATCTTTTCACCATCATTGTCTTCCACAATTATCCAAAACGGCTCAACATATTTATGAATTTTCTCGTCCCACAGGAAATCAGGTGTAACTGTGAGCTCCACCTTCAGAACAGTGCGAGTAATAGGCTGAACATGTGCAGAAAGAGTCAATTTTGGGAACTGGTGAATGAACTTGTGAAGCGGCCTGCCCATCTTAGGACTACGAATAAGCTCTCCTAGCTCCTGTGAGGATAGATCATAGTACCTCTCCCACACCAAATCCTTCTTCTCCAAGTTCATTAAAATATCATTGGGGATTCCATGAAACTGACGCAGGGGTGTCTGGACACTCCACATCCTCCTCCCAACCATTTTAGACAAGTTCAGAGCCTTCTCTGCCAGTTGAGCCCATCCCCGCTTCAATACAATTTCATAAAGAGCTCGCACAAGACGTCCAGCACTCTAAACATGATAGAAAGAAACGAAATATAAGTATCAGAAAATAGATACAGCTAATTTATCAATGTAACTAGAAGGGACGAGAGAAGAAAGTGTAGAACAAACCTGAGTAATGTAAACCATGTCAGATGTCAAAGAAAGACCCTCAAGCTTTAGCTGTGAAATATATGCCTGCAGCAATACATTTATTTTTGCACTGGGCTCCTCCAAAGTTTCCTTGATCGGAATCGGGACACGATCCAAAAGTTTCGCCAGTTCCATCTTCTCATCTTGCCGAACCGTCACATACTTGAACTCTTCACTCAGGGAGAACAGACGATAAAGATCTATATCACCCATTGTTGGCTTCAAATGCTCATTGTATGTAGCTATGGTCCCATGGGTTATGTAATAGTAGCTAGCAATGCGTCCCAAATCTGTAACTTGGAAGTATCCACTTTTCCTGTCATACTTAACCAAGTTGTTTTTGTCCAAGATAGTAGCAGCCGAATGTATCTGCAAAAACAAGGATTCAAGCAAATATTAGACACTGCTCGCCATTAAGGATCATTTATAAAAGTAACTTTAGAACAATATAACCAAATGCAAACTCATCATTCCGAAATCTCAAAATGATATATGAAATACTAATCTGCGATCAACTTGAAGAAGACAAGGCAAGCACCCAACAGTTCATCATTGAGTGCATGTAATAGACAGTGAGAAAGCTACTGATACTAGGAACAACATTTATGGGAAATGATATCAAACAAATAAACGTCATTTTCAGAGTATTAGAAAACGAGCTCACCATTAAGAATATCAAATAAAATACAAAGTAACTTGCAGAGCAATAACATTAAATAATCAGGTACATACTCCCCATTCAAAATACTCAAAAGAGAAATTTATGATACTAGATTAGTAATCAACATGATGATGCACAAGTGATCCCAACAGTACATGATGATGCACAAGTTATCCCAACAGTTAATCATGAGGCAAAGCTACTGATGCTAGGCATAATATTTAGGGGCAATGATACTATATGAAAAAGCACTACAAACTCTTCACTAAGAATATTAACACAAATAAAAGTAACTCTCAGAGCAGTGATAAAAAACACGCACAATTAATCACAGGCTGTGTGAAAGCTTCAGGTACTAGGCATAATATTTATGAGCATTTAACGATAAAAAAATAATTTGACAGTAGATAGCAAAAGCTCAAATTTATGCAGATGAAAAAGTACTTACCAGGTCAGCTCTTCTCTCCTCCAACACTACGTCTTTTGCAAGGGCATCAGGCGCTAAGCCATACAGCGTTGGATTACGAACCATACGGATATATAAATACGTATAACCAAGCCAATGGCAAGCCTCTCTAGCATTCTGAACGGTTCCAAGCACAATTTCAGCATTAAGCTGGTCAGCAAGTTTGGAAATAAACTGGCTTTCAATAGGTAGTTGCTCATTCATCAAAGAAAGATAATATTGCAGCTCGCTGTAGCCAGTGATAATTATACCCTCCCCATGTCGATCATACTGAGGTCTTCCAGCACGACCAAGCATCTGCATAACATCTAGAGGACTCAGCTCCATCCACGCCCCTTTTTCAGGATTATACACCTGGGTTCCTTTTATAATAACGGTATGTGCAGGCAGATTCACACCCCATGCGAGAGTTGCTGTGGAAACCAAGACTTGCACATGCCCCTGAGCAAAAAGATTCTCAACGATCTCACGATCACCCCTTGTTAACCCAGCATGATGAATTGCAAAACCGTAAGGCAGAATATTTTTCAGCTCACCATTTTTAACAATGTCAACATGACTCTGGAGAACTTCACGAGTTACACTATCTTCCTTCAAGAATCTGCTGAGGGTATCGTTTGCCATTGCAGTGTCCCGTATTGCTTTAGCAGTTTTCGCTGTTTCCTTCCTTGAATGAACAAAAATAAGGACCTGGTGCTTTCCAGCACCTGCCAAAACTTTCTGATAACATAGATCATTCATCAACTGGAACCTCTGCAACGGTTTCTTCACACTGATTCCAATATACTGCTGATGGAGAGGCACGGGTCTGTAGCTGCGGTCAAATTTAAACAAACCTTTCTTAAGATCAACCCGCAAAAACAAGGCCACGTCTTCATAATTTGGCAGTGTAGCAGATAAACCAACCAGACGAATATTCTCTTTCGTGGTTTCAATTTGCCTAAGAGTCCTAGCGACAATGCTTTCAAGCACAGGCCCTCGATTATCATGAAGGAGATGAATTTCATCAATTATAAGAAGTCTTACAAGCTGAGTGTAAGTTCGGTCTCCAGACTTCCTAGTGATGATATCCCATTTCTCTGGTGTGGTAACAATTATCTGAGTCTCTTCAATTTCTCTCCCGGTTAGGGACTGATCCCCACTGAGTTCTCTCACAGTAACTCCATAATCCTTCAGACGATTAGACAAATTACCTACAACTTCAGCAACAAGGGCTTTCATGGGTGCAACATAGACAATTTTGTAATCTCCATGGTTATAAGTTCCATCTTTGTTCCTATTCATTTCAAGTTGCTGCAGTATGGTGAGCATAGCAACATTGGTTTTCCCAGCACCAGTTGGAGCACAAAGAAGAAGGTTCTCTGCCTTAAAAAGTGCAGTGTCATACACTTTGCTCTGAACCCTGTTTAACTGTTGCATTCCCTTAAAAGCCGGTTGCGCCCAATCAGGCATTTCCGTAATCTTCACAAGCTTCTCATTGCTATCGACCTTTTTAGAAACCCATGGCACATGAACTTCATCATATCCCTTGCCATGACTTCTGTAAGAGCCAGGGGGAAGGTCACACTTCTTATTCGCCATCAGGAGACCACCTTGGTCAAAAGCCAAGCTCTCCAGGTCCAGCATCTGACGCTGACCCTTCACCCAGCCACTCTCTGAATCTCTATCAGCAACATCTCTCCTGCGTCTGCCTCCATCTCCACCAGTTTCGTCCTTCAAACGTCGGGCTTCTTCGTTAATACTTTTTTGCAGGTTCTCCTCCCTCTCTTTCGCTGTTGCTCTTGTTGCATGCAACTGCTCCACAATAGCAGTCAACTCTGGGCCCAACCCCCTCATCTCCTCCTCAATTCTCTTCCTCTCTTCCTGGTCTTCTGCCCTAGCCAAACGAGTGCACCACACAACTTTAAGACGATTCCGCAGCAGAAACTTAACAAGGCTAAACTTTTCGAACTGAAGGTGCATAAGCAGCTTGTTCTCAACAACCCTATCATCCCCTTCAGCGAGTACCTTAAGCAGCTCTTCTGCAAGTACCTGGCATTGTTGTGGATCAATCTGCTGTTCATATGCTTGAGAGATCTTTCTCTGGAGCCAATATGCATCAATGTCTTGAACATTAAGATTTGCGCCCTCATTTGCATCTCCTGCATCCTGATCATTGATCCCAGCATCAACCTGCATGCCTCCAGTTCTGGTAGGCTCTTCATCCTCCTCATCATCTTCCTCTTGAACCATATCGGGATCACTCTCATCATCGTCTTCTTCATTCTCCTCAAACTCAACCGCCACGCCCAAATCATCATCTAGTCCTTCTTCCTCATCAGCTTTACCACCACCAGAATCACCACCCTCTTGAAAGTCCGTGATCAACTTTCCAATGGAAACAAGCTGATCAAACTCATGGTTTTCAATATGGTTCAGCAACTTCTCGATCTCCATCTTTTTCTCAGGGTTTCTAAATGTATCGTTCTTGAGAACAGCCAAAATCTCATCTGCAGCACCACTAACAATACTCAGAGGTTGCCCACCCAACTGCTGCTGAATTAGACTAAGCATGGCCTCATAAGCAGCCCTTGTCTCCTTAGTCTTTGGCTGATAAACCGCATCATCAGTATCAGTTAGAACGCTCTCTTCCCTTAGACGACGCCTCTTACTCTGCCTAACATTAGCAGTATCATCAACAACATCACGTTCCTTCTTCTTAGACTTTTTAAGCTTATCCTCCAACTCCTGAGGCCTCCCCTTAGCAACACGGTCACCAAAAGACCTCGGATCAATTTTCCCCCACAGAGTTTCCGGTTCTCCTGTAGGCTCATGAGTATCGCGAGGACGATTATCAGTAGTTAACACCAGACTAGAATTGGCTCTGTACTCATACTGCTTGAACCTGGCATGTGCTTCCGCACCGCCTCCCAAGTTCGCCATCACCAAATCCGAAAACCTAAAAACCAAATCAAACAGAAACAAAAACAAAAAACACACAATGTTAACCTCAAATCGAAGAAACGAAACCAAAATAAAACCAAAAGAGAAACGAAGAAGCTCCCAAAGAACGCAGATGATAAACCCTAATAAAACCACTCAAAACAGCTGCGAAACACTTACCGAAACAGCTACGAAACGAAATCTCTTCTTAGCTTCACTCTCGGCAACGAATCAATCTACTAGAAGAAACCCTAATGGGAGATTCAGATTTCTTCTCCCTTCTCACGTCCTCTATCTCCTAAAAATCGACCTAAATGACTAAAGGAGACACTCCTTCGTTATTCGACTGCGAATTCTTTCTATAAGCTAGCAACCGCCTTAAGATGACAAACCTTAACGACGCCGTTTCGACACTATGGATCCAATAACGAAACCGACTCTGTACTATGCTTTATTATTGGGTTGGGCCTGTACATAAGCCCAACGCAATAAGAAAATGGTCCCATGCTTTATTTTGGCTTTGTTAGATGAATTAGATTATAACCAGCGGTACACCGCGGGACTATAATTTTTTTAAAAAAGAAAATTTTAATTTGTTTAGTAGATTAAAAATATATATGATTTAATATTTTGTATTTTTTAAATGTACAATTCTTATATCTATATATTTTTAATGTACAATTACTATGTTTAATTTTTACTGTTTAAAAATATAGAAACAATAACATACAGTTAATTAAGTTAAAATCTAGATTATAACTATAAAATTTAAATATTAATTATATTTATTTTGTTAAAATTGTTTGTTTTGTTTAGTGTTTAAGATAATATATTTGTATTTTGATTGTTATATCTAGGATTTCACCCGTAGTATACAGTCTCGTATTACTATCGACCCAAACCCGTCTTACCATCTAATACCGTTCAGTGAAATTAAACATATCTAATGGATTTCACCCGTGGTATACCGTCTCGTATTACTATCGACCCAAACCCGTCCTACCATCTAACCCCGTTCAGTGAAATTAAAAATTATTTTATTATTTTTGTTTTAATAATACTTTAATTTAAAAGATATATCATTCATATCAATTTAAAAGTTTTCTTTCAAATGGTTATTTAATTATTGTAAATTTCATATATTATTATATTATAAATCCGTCATAATAAAACATTATTTTTTTGTTTGAATAATACTTTTATTAAACATTATTTTTTGTTTGAATAATACTTTTATTAAAATATTTATAATTCAAATCAATTTAAAATTTTCTTTCAAATGATTATTTAATTTTTATAGATTTCACATATTATATATATTCTAAACATTTTTTCCGTTAAATATTCTAAACGTTTAATAAATTTTAAATAACTATAATATTTATCTTTCAATAAAGTATAATATTAATAATGCCCTAAGAATGCATAGAATGCATCCCGTCATTCGTTTTTAATTTAACCGTTTTCTCTCTTGTTTTGGCGATTTCTCCAAAGCCACCTTTTCAGGCAAAACCGCTTCGTTATTCTTCGATCCCGGCCGGCGTCGGCTTCTCTGGCGTCGGTCGGATCCTTCTTCTATTTGCGTTAGTTTTCAAGTTTCTTGTTCTGTATATATCAATAACATCGGCAAAGTGATTCTTATGGCTATCTGATCTCTGTTATTGATTCAATATCTCATCGTCTTTCTCTCGTGTCGAGAGTTCGTATTTCCGATCAAAATCCGGCAAAGGTGTCGGAACAATATCGGTGTCTTTCCGCTAAGGATAAATCCAGGCGGCTTCCTTTGTTTCAATTCAGATTCCTTTGGTCTCCAACACCATCGAGACCATGACCATGACTTCAATTTCTCTAAATCGATAAAGGATTTTCAAACCCAGATATGGGATCCAGGAGATCTGAATTACAAAATTGAAGGTGGTGGAATATTGAAGTCGTGTATACGGAAGTCATATATATGGAAGTCCAAACTATGTACTAGTTATATATACGGAAGTCATGTGATGCTCGTGTTGGAGATTGGTATCTCATTTATGCCTTGCTCAAAGAGATTAATAATTCTCTGCATCGGTGCTATTATTCTTTTTCCTTTGTTGTTTATTTCTTTTAGTATCAAGGAAACATTGCTGCAATTCAAAACTAGAGATATCAATATTGGTTTTGATGATGTGAGATCACTTCTCCAATCTAACCAATTTGTTGCTCCCGTTCATGCTTATATTGTTTATGTGATGGAATTATGGATGCACCAATTTGGCTTATGTTGGATGGAGATGTTGAGGTTTTGTGTGGTTTTGATCAAATATTGGCGAGAAGATTTGATTAGTATTGAGCAGATTTGGTGGATGAGAGATGCATCGGCGATGTTTAGATGGGAACCTATTAACACGAGAGGGTCGGGTACTTGGCATAATACAATAAAACTATATGTGGTTTTGTTGAAGAGAGTTACAGAGACGTCAAAATATTTTAGAAAGACCTTGGTACGGAAGATTTGGTGCCACCGTGTCTACATTTCAGAATTAGTTCTGGGCACATCGGGTTTAATGCTACGTTTTGTTAAAAAAAAGTTTCAGCCACAAGTTGCTGCATACAAAGAGAAATAAAATATGAAGTTAGACAATAACCGATCTTATGATCGGTTAGCGAGTAAGACTACTCTACGGAAAACATCGTCAAACTCCCTTCTGCTGTATTTTTCTTAGTGTATGGCACATACATTTGCGTATGTAATAACTTTACAGTAATTCTGTATATGTCTTTGTAATAACTCTTTGATCTTAATGAAGTTTGATTTTGCCGAAAAAAAAAAAATAATGCCCTAAGATTTCTCCTTTTCTTAAGTAATTAGAATTGATTAGATAAAGAAATGCTAGTAATTAAGAATCTTAATTAATTGATAATAATTAATGTCAATGGCATTCTTTGTAAATAAGTTGTAACTTGAAGATTTATTTCATAAAGTGTTGCAAAAATGTATATATAAATGGATGCAATTGTCAAAATATGAATTCCTCACATTAATAATCTCTGACAAATATAATGTGTGTAATAATGAAAAAGGAATGGGGAAAAACTTTAAATGGTGACAGTGACATGGAGGCTGATTACTTTGAATGCAATCTTAGATTAGTAAAAGGAGGCACATGCATATGAGACGAAGGTTCATGTGTTATCATGTGAAAACTGGGCAAGTCGATAAAAATATCCAAAAAAATATATATATTTCTTTATTTTTTTTGTCAAAACTCTAAAGAGATCTATTGATCTTAGTGATAATATAGTTTTCAAACATGCTACACGTATAATTTATAGTTTTGTATTAAAAAGAGTTCTCATGGTTTTTTACCAAACAAAATAAAGAGTTTTCATCATCTCATGTTATGTGTTATATCGATGGAACAAGAATCAATTACCATAACAACAACGACAACAACAAAAGTTCAAGAAAAACTCACTCCAATGACTCCATCATTAAAACTCTTGATTGAAAAAAAAAAACTCAATCGGTGATTAAATTTTTACTTTCTTTCTCTTTAAGGAAATACGGAGAATTGTGACAGACAAACAAACAAGAGTAATTTAATAAAGAAATTGACTAATCACGCATCACATATGTAGGCGTGTGAAAGACTGAGACGTGGAAAATCAAAATGTCCCAAAAAGGCCATGTGTGGAAATCCACGTAACAAGAGCATCAAATTCAACTATGTTTATGTTTAATATTCTAGAATGCACTATTAAGTAATTTTGTAAAAAAAGCAATTGAACTTGTTCGTAACCGTTTCTCTCCCAACGACAAAGAAGGCGACCTTTAACAGAGAAACACTTTTACTTTTCGTTATCTTCTCCCAACGTCGGCCGTACTTTTCCTTTTACTCTTCTGTTCTCTTTTCTTTTGTAGTTTAAGTTTTCCATATAAATCTCAATCGGAGAAGCGATTGTTTGTGCGATTATCACCAAATCTTCAATTTCTCTTGCTTGGTCCTTTCTCATCCGAAATGGTTTCGTATGGCAGTTTCAGTGATAGGGTTTTGGTGATGGGTTTGTCTGACAGCGTAGGACATGGCGATCTGGATATGAGGATGTTATTGTTAACAAATCCATGGTTGAGTTTGTCTCAAGTTTGGGTCTCTACATCAATAGCCAACGCCACTTTGATTCTCGATGTTAGGGTTTTCGTTCCTCTTCAAAGAAGCGTGATTGTCCGTGCGATGATGATGTTCATTCACGGTGTTTTTCTGGGCATGTCCAGCCTTTTCGGTATGGCGGCAATAATTGACCGCGTTTTGATGCAAACTTACGGCATGGGACGCATATGGGATCCCGAAATTACATTGGAGGCATTTATCGTGAAGATCGCCAACGAGCTCTTTGATGTGAGACGTATAACAAGATGGGATTACACTAGTATGAAGTCAAACTTTCTAATGCGCATTATGACACCGAAACGGACTAATTGGTATCGGATTGTCGATTTTTCAAAACTTATTCCAGGAGCAACGGGTTCTTTCTATGTGATGTGGAGTTTCAAACAACGAAGGCCAATAAGACATACATATCACATTCGAGCAAGATGGTATATGAAGAAGGTACAGAACATGTTTAACAACATGATAGCGAGTAAGGCTTATCGAATGAAAGCATCGTCAAATTCATTTCTTCATTTTTGTCATCTTCAGTATATGGCACATAATTTTGCTTATGTAAAAAATTGCTTTATGAAGTTTTGTAATGGTTTTGTAATTGATATTGTAATACCAATTGATTAATAAAAGTTTTTAGAAGAAAAAAAAATATATATATATATATATATATATAATAGAGTTTGAGAACAAAGAGTATCTTGTGAAAATGAATTATCTTTCTCAATCGTGAAAGTTAGTTACAAGTATGTATTTATACTCTATACACTCTACCAACTAAACCGTATACAATCTCTAGATTAACTTAACCAAAGAGAATAAACCGGATTATATGTACAATCTGATAGCCCCCCTCAAGCTTGAGCTTCATAGATATTGAGAACTCCAAGCTTGCTAATGTTTGCTTTGAAAAGACCCGGATATAGAGGTTTAGTGAGCATGTCAGCCAACTGGTTATCAGTTCTGACAAACATGGTCTTAAGAACACCAGCTTCAATGGCTTCTCTGACTTTGTGACAGTCGAATTCAATGTGCTTTGTCCTTTCATGGAAAACAGAATTGCTAGCAATATGTAGAGCAGCCTCATTATCACAATACAAGTATGCAGGAGGAGTGAAAGGAACCTTAAGAGCTGTTAATATATATCCCAGCCAAATGATTTCCTTAGTTGCAACACTCATGGCTCTGTATTCAGCTTCTGCTGAACTCATAGAAACCACATCCTGCTTCTTAGAACGCCAAGAAATCAAGGAATCACCAAGAAAAATAGCAAAACCAGTTACACATCGTCGAGAATCTGGACAAGTGCCCCAGTCAGAATCTGAGAATCCACGCAGAGTAAAATTAGCATCAGCTCCATAGAATAAGCCTTGACCAATAGTTCCCTTCAAGTATCTTAAAATTTTGTGAAGAGCCTGAAGATGAACATCTCTTGGAGCAGCTGAATATTGTGCAAGTTTAGACACTGCAAAGGTTATATCTGGTCTGGTAAGATACAAATATTGAAGTTTGCCAAGAAGACGACGATACTGTTTTGAATCAGCAATAAGAACACCACTATCTTGAGAAAGTTTCTGGTTAGGCTCCATAGGTATTGAAGAAGGTTTGCAATAAGAAAAACCAGTAACAGCCAACAAATCCAGAACATATTTTCTCTGACAAAGAGAGATTCCTTCAGAAGTTCTTGCAATCTCAATGCCAACAAAAAACTGAGGAGGACCAAGATCTCTCAATTGAAATGCAGAACTAAGTTGAACTTTCAATTCAGTAACTGCAGAATCATTAGTGCTGGCAATAAGTATGTCATCAACATAAACAATCACCACCAAGAAGTTGCCTGCAGATTCTTTCACAAAAAGAGTATGATCTCCATGACACTTAGCAAAACCAAAACTCACCAAGGTCGTTGAAAACTTGATAAACCACTGACGAGAGGCTTTCTTAAGACCATAAATCGATTTGTGTAGACGACATACTGCACCAAGAGGAACCTCTTCTCCTTGTATTTCAGCATAACCAGGAGGCAATTGCATGTATATTTCCTCAGTAAGGTCACCGTTTAAAAATGCATTTGAAATATCCAATTGATGTAAGGACCAAAGCATTTTCGGTGCGAGAGAAAGAATGAGTTTCACAGTAGCCATCTTAGCTACTGGAGAGAAAGTATCAATGAAATCTATTCCCTCTTGCTGAGTATACCCTTTTGCCACCAAACGCGCCTTAAATCTTTCTATGCTTCCATCAGCATGGTATTTAATGGTGAAAACCCATTTGCAGCCAACAGCTACCTTACCAAGAGGTAAATCACAAACACTCCAGGTTTCAGTTCTCACAAAAGCTCCAATTTCCTTTCTCATAGCATCATTCCATTCCCTGTCCAGCCTAGCCTCTGAATATTTTCGCGGTATAGTAGTATTTGTGATGATATTAATGAAGGCATTGAAAGGCTCAGATAATAAAGTATAAGATATATAATTTGCTAATGGATAAGGAGAAGTCTTTGTAGGGAGATTAGTATTAGTAGGAGTACTATTATAGCAATGAAAGTCCTGCAAATGGGAAGGCAGTTTTCTCTGCCTAGTAGATTTAAGTTCAGAAGGAACAGAAATTAAAGAAGATGACTCATCAATATTGTGAGGAGCATCAGAGGATGGTTGCACTAGAGGCAAATGTCCATCAGTGTTTGGTGCAGGGAGAGAAATATGAGGAAAGAAATGTTTTGTATCATCCGGGATAGTAGATGATGCAAAAGGAAAAATATCCTCATAGAATATAACATGTCTAGAAATTGAAACTGAGTATGTCTCTATATCTAGTAGCTTGTAACCCTTATAACCTGATGGATATCCCAAGAAAATACAGGCTTTAGCTCTAGGTTTAAACTTATTTCTAGACTTAGTGGAAGTAGAACAGTAGCACAGACAACCAAAAGCTTTAAGAGCATGATATTCTGGGATCTTAGATGTTAACTTTTCATAAGGTGTTTTGTTGTCAATGACAGGAGAAGGCAATCTATTAATAAGAAAGACCGCAGTTAAAACACAATCACCCCAATACTCTAAAGGAACCCCAGATTGAAACATAAGAGCCCTAGCTACATTCAACAGGTGCTGATGCTTTCTTTCAACCACAGAGTTTTGCTCAGGTGTTTCAGGACATGAATGAAAAGATTTAATGCCTTTTGACATGTAAAATTTATGAAATTTCAATTCATGCGCATTATCAGATCTAACAGAAAACTTTAGTGTCATATTGAGTTTCAACCATATTGACAAAACCAGGAAAAATTTCTAAAACATCAGATTTTTGTTTAAGCATATATAACCAGGTAGCACGACTAAAATCATCAACTATAGTAAAAAAATATCGATAACCATCAACAGTAGGAACAGAAAAAGGACCCCATGTATCAATGTGAACCAATTCAAAAGGATTTTCACGAATGTGATTCAAAGATTTAAAGGGAAGATGTTTCTGTTTAGATAAATGGCAAATACGACAATGATGATCAGCTTTATTGATTTTAGTCTTTGATAACAAAAGAACATCAGATAAGGATTCAAGTTTAGCTAGAGAAGGATGCCCTAAACGTCTATGCCACATATCTGAATCATCTTTTGAACTATAACAGACAGACTTACCTGGAAATGCAGAACAAGACACATTAACAAGAGATTTATCCAAGTTTAGAACATAAAGGTTGGCAACTTGACTACCATTTCCAAGCATCAATTCCTGTGTAAGATCTTGAATGACATATGCATCAGAAGTAAAACTGACTTTAGACTTCAATGATTTTGTAATAACACTAACACTCAACAAATTGAATTTAAATGCAGGAATATACAAAACATTGTAGAGAAGTAAAGCATCAGTGAGTTGAATATAGCCTGTTCCCTCTATTTTGACTGTCTGACCATTGGGGAGTCTAACATAAGTTCTATCTAAGGCTTTATATTCTAGATAAAGTTCCCTTTGATGAGTAACATGGTGACTAGCCCCTGAATCTATAACCCAAGCTTTAAGAGACAACTCAGTTTCATGAGGTATAGAAGATGTCAACATGTCATAGTAAATACAATCATAGAGAGAAAGGAAAGTACCAGATATCTGTGAGATAGAAGGTACAGAAGTTGAAGTCGAGGCTATAGCTTTATCAGGACATGAAGTGATACTAGGAGACTGAAGCTTGGAACTTAAGTATGAGATCATCTGCTGGATGTGATCTTTTGACATATTATCATTTACCTCTTCACGATGATTTTCCTTAGAATCCTCAAGAGTATCTGTGCTAGTCAGAGTAGAGCTAGTCAGATTAGTGCTACCAACATAATTGTTCTTCTTGGCTCGGGGATGCCCTGGAGGATATCCATGAACTTTGTAACACTTATCAACAGTGTGACCCATCCTATTACAGTGAGAACACTTGGCTTTCTGATTAGAGCCTTGTGCCATAAGGATATGGTTCTGTTCTGTAAGCACAACTTGAGTCTGGAAAGCAGAAGGGTTGGATAAAGGTCTAGAAGCACCTCCAACAAGTCTCTGACTCTCATCTTGATCCAACATATTGTAGATTTTATTCAATCCCGGTCGTGGCTTCATTGTGAGAATGTGACTTCGTATATTGTTGAAATCATCACTCAATCCCATCAAAAACTGAATAATCCGACTGGTTTCTGCTTCTTCTAACAGTTCTTTCACTTGATCACAATCACATTTCTTCACACTGCGAGACTTAGTGTTAGACAACTGCTCCCACAATGTCTTCTTCTTCGTGAAGTATGTAGACAAATCAAGCTGTCCCTGCTTAAGAGTCATCACAGCTTGTTCTAGCTGATATTTCCTTGGCAGATTATTAACTCTGAAATGAGTAAACAAATCATCCCACATTTCAACAGCATCTTCATAATACAATATACTGTCATAGATCTCCTTATTCACAACATTAAGAATCCATGATTTCACCATGCTGTTGCATCTACTCTAGATACGAAAACTAGAATCATTCTCAGGTGGCCTTAAAAGAGATCCGTCAACAAATCCGAGTTTATTTTTCGCATCTAGACTAATCCTCATAGCTATAGACCAACTGTTGTAATTAGTTCCATCAAGAGTGTGAGCAACGATCGATAAACCTGGATGATCGGAATTATGGAGAGTCAAAGGATTATAGAAGGATTCAGAAGGTTTCGACGACGATCCTCGACCATCAGATGCTTCCAATCTTTGAGAAAGTTGCTGCTTCATCGTCGCATACTTCGGATCTTCAAGAAACTCCGAATCGCGAGCAGATTTAACTGCAATTCCTTCATCGTCAGGCGTAACACTGCGATTTCTCAGTTTTCCTCCTTTCTTCACCATTTTTGCCAAATTCGAGGTCGCGGAATGACAATCGAAGAAGATAGAAGCGATTAATCGGTGAGATTGTTGAAGAATCTGAAGAATCGAAGGTGAAATCACCAGATTTGTGCAAGAAAATGCTCTGATACCATAATAGAGTTTGAGAACAAAGAGTATCTTGTGAAAATGAATTATCTTTCTCAATCGTGAAAGTTAGTTACAAGTATGTATTTATACTCTATACACTCTACCAACTAAACCGTATACAATCTCTAGATTAACTTAACCAAAGAGAA